TAATAAAAGATAAATTAGCACAAGAAAAAATTAAAGTATTTTAAGAATTTATACCTTAACAGGGTTTGAGAATTTCAGAAGAGAAACTGATATGATCAAAGTATATCAGTATAGATTTGACATTACATGTAACCTTAGCAACTATCAACAGTCATAAATGTTTCATTCATATTTTTTGGCCAAAACTTTATAATTTACATTTTCATCTTGGAGAGATGACTGAAATTCTCTGTCATTAAATAACCACATGATCGCTAATAAATTTATCTGCACCTGAAATAAACAGAATCATGCATATATGTGAATTTCTGTTTATTTATGTGTCCATATATTTTTCAGGGTGTACTACTTGAATGAACTCTCATTCTTCAACTCTTTTCAAGAGAGGGTGACCATACTTTACTGCTTCTAACTTTGAACAACTTTCAAATTTAGCACTGCTTCTGCTAAATGGTTGACTTCTTTTCATATCACATGTTTGTCATTTCCAAGGCATTTTAACACATTTCTGGAAACAAATATGCATCATATTCCTCAATTTGAAAACTTTTGACAGATTCAATGTAAATGAACTGTTTTAAAGATGCTTACATTTGTTAATGTTCCAGAGAACATAATCTCAAAAAAAAAAAAGCACATCTTTATGTGACTAAAAAGACTTTTTTTATTATTTATAACTCTGTGCTCAGGGTTTTTTAAAGATTCTATGCTGGTTATTCAAGGACAACTATGCATCTTAAAATTGGCAGATAAATAGGTGTGCCCCTGAGTATTCATTCTAAAATTAATTAGAAAATTAGAATGCAATTAAAGCTGAGAGAAACATAATAAATTAGATATTAAATAACTTCTTAGACATCTTTGAATTTCTTCTTAAATAAAAATGCTTTTGAGATGTGTAATTCTTTAATTCGTCATTATAAAGCACTTAATGGTGTAGCTTGGCCATCCTTAAATTTCTTGTATATTTTGCCTACTGAGTTCAAGTAAGTTGCTACTCAATAATAAGAATAACAGAACATGGGACTTAATATTTACATGGTGCAAATCTGGTTAAATAATGCATCATATGTATCTTAAATATGATGCTGTTGTGTTCTATCAGTATATACCCAAAGCTATTTAAATAGGGCAGAGGTTATTAAGTTTCACAAGTGTATCTGATTTAAATGGAAGGACCATGGCTCCCTGAATATCTCATTTTATATGATACCATAATCCAATGAGTGACCTCCAGCACCACTGATTTTCATAGACCTTGGACATGCTCATCATTTCTTGGGTTTCCCAACTCTTTGCAAGACAGAGCCAGGAGTAAAAGCTCATAAAAGACAAGTAAATAATTGTCAGCAGTTTCACAGACCCAGCTTCTGAAAACAATTCAAGGTGGTCACCAGGCCTCTAGGGTGCTGAAAATCCCTTTGCATACCATGCAAGCAAAGAATTAAATTACAAATCCAACAGCAGACCAGCACATGAAAAACCAAACCCAACTCCATCCTACAGCAAGCCTAAGATACACTTGATAACACTTTCTTCAGCTTTTGCCAAAATTACAGGAAATTTAGCAAAGCATTTATCTCCTCAAATTAAGACAACAAAGGCTGAAATTGCAAGGCAGTTCATATAGACAGTGATTTCAGTGGAGCAGTATAGAAAGCTACAATTTTTAAGACAGAAAACTTGGCAGGATCTGCGCTGGTCAAGACACAGGCTGAAGTGCCAGATCCCTTTCATCCATATCCTATCACTGCTTGGCTTGTTTTTTGATGTTGGTACCTTCTGTAAAAACACATTTCTTTTATACTGAGATATTAATAACTCTAACTTTCCTTAACCAGCCATGTAATTAACCTATTAGTCCTGTAAAATGACCAATAAAGCAAGAACGGGAGGAAATTTGTTTGTTTCTAAAATTAATTGCTATATGTTATAATGTTATATAACACTCCTAAAACCCTGCAAAATTGGAAGCTGTCATTAATTCACACTTAGTTGGTTGGTTACACTTACAGTGAAGCCTGAGACAATGATTGCTTTTGTAAACTCTCAACTCATATGCTTATGCATGTTTCAGTAGAGTTTAACACTACTAAATGTTGGCACTATGCTTCAAAAAAATACAAAAGTAAGCTTCAGCTCTTGCTGACTTTTAGTATTTAGCGATCAGCATCTGTACTCATCAAAATGAGGGGGCTTTTTAATTAATAAGTTGCCAAAATACAGCAAACCAAGGATACATTATGAGAGGTAGATTTGTTTATACAATATCTGAGGCATTGACATATGCTTTTAATGCATGGAGTAAGATGTTAACTTTAGAAATTTTTCACTAGTTTCCCATATGCATGATGAAAATTCATCTGTCTAGTAATGTCCAAGAAGATAAGTGATATAATTATACTAAATGTCACATTCATTACATGGAGGAAGGAGGGTACTGAAAAAGGTCAATTAGTCTGACCTTTTAGTCTATATACCCAATTGTCATAATGTATAACAGCTGCATTTTTTACAAATTGTCAAACAACTTTTGTTCCCATCACACATTAAACATGAACTATGTTCAGGATGGGCTGCATACAAAACACTGTTTTCACTGTTAAGATGTGATTAAGGTACAAAACCTCAACCTTATCAAAACAGTCAAAGTTATGGGCATACTGCTTTTCCAATACTTTTACAATAACCACTGCATTCAATCATATGAAAGAGAGGGGCGTACCTTTTTAGCTATATTAGCACCAATTATACTCTTTACCAAAATATTTTCTCCTGAGTTAAATTTCTGTTAGCCCTGCAATAGAAGAATTGTTTCTGAAACTCTTTCACTCTGAAAAAAATTATTTTCTGAATTCAGATCGTTTAAAATATGCTACTAACTAGTTGATATTATGGTATATGCATATTCAGCAGTGCTATACAATTCTATTTTGGCTCATTGATTGGATGACTAGAATTTTTATAATTAAAGGGTGGGGAAATCAGAGAGTTCTGAAGATAGCACATAGAATGGCATTTGTGAAATCACAAATATAGACATCAGCAGTACAGATATTTTCATGTTAGCTAGTTGTCAAGACTTTTTCACAGTGAGTGGAGTAAAATTGGCACTTTCAAAGCATGAGTCATCTCTTCCTAAAATAGATGATTAAAACAGGTCAGATGAATCACTATGTATTGCTCTCTATTGACCTTGAAGAGAGCATTGGGTTACTAGTTAGTGTGTACACATATAAACTGCAGAACACATGAAGCCGGATGAGAGGGAAACAACCCAGGATATCTGTGGAAACAATATTTTTACTACAGATTTATGAGCAGGTGTGAGAATAGTAGACTAATATTTCCTAAGGGGAAAAAAAAAGAAAGATTGTTTGCATCTTTATGGTAAATAAGCTAAAAGGGAGTATATGTGATTTAGAGGGATGTCTTATATCTCTGTGTAAAGCATTTGGATATAAAAGTATTTTCCTGGCTCTAGAAGGTACATAATTTCTTTGAAATATTATCATAGTGTTTCAGTACATCATAACCATAGATATTGAAATCAAATGTCCTTTGAGCTTCAACATCAAGACATAGTATAGTAAATGGTTCATTTGAGAAAATGCAACTACAAGATTTGAAATACACTTAAATTAAATCTGAAAATTCTGATTAGCTGATAAATGGCTTCGCAGTAATCTGTAAATTCTTCCAATGGAATTAAAATCTAATTTGTATACATGTACTGAGGTTTTGACTGAGGAATGTCATAACTGACCCTTAAATTATAACTACAAAGTTCTTACATAGAATGCCTTAGCCTCTTCACACATCTCCTGCCATTAATTTACTCTTGTGCACACTCTCACAAGGGCACTTTCTTGAAACCAAAATCCAAAAATCATTCATCCTGACATATCTGCACGGCTTTATCCCCAGACTATCAGAATAGAAACAGAACCAGTAAAGGCAGCATTATATGTCTGTGCTGTGCCTTTTTTCATCTTCTTTCTGTATGACCTTCAGGTAGACTTGAAACCTGCATTCAATATAGACTGAGCTTTTCCTTGCTTTACTTCACCTTCAATTTACTTGTCACGATGTACTACACTGTTAACAGTATTTGCTGCTTTGCTACAAATGAAGACCAAACTATTTCAAATCTGCCTGACTACGATAGATCTCCTCGACTCAGATTTAAACAAAACTGTGCTAAACTTGATTTTCCTAAGACAAAAAAATCTGCTGTCAGTTTTTTAAATCAAAAGGTGTTAAATCCACTCATTACCTTTGAAACATATTCCTAACGAGTCTAAAATGGATTGAGGCAAGCAGTGTTATTAATTTTTCAGTGGTTCTTTACTTCCAGGAATTTTATAACTATGGCAAATTCTACAAGTTTTCTGAGCTTGTGTATACATTAAAAAGATAAGTAGTGTAACTTTGTAACTACTCAAGAAAAAAATCTTACAAGAAAAATGAAATTTCTAGGTGTTCTGGTTTTGTCTGTATTAAAGTAAATTTTCTTTCTAGTACCTGGTACAGGTCTGTGGATGTGGGATTTAGTATTAGAATACTGTTATGTATAACACCCTTATGTTTTAGTTGTTGTTAAGTAATGCTTAGTCAAAGTGAGGACTTCAGTTTCCCATGCTCTGCCAATGAGGAGGGCACAAGGAAGCTGTGAGACAGCATGGCCAGGCCAGCTGATCCAAACTGGCCAGAGGGATATTCCATGGCACAGAGCATCCTGCTCAGTGCATGAACCGGGGGGAGGTTGGTCGGGAGGCATCGATCGCTCCTGGGGGACCGGCTGGGCATCAGTCAGTGGGTGCTGAATAACTGCACTGTGCATCTCTTGTCTCTCTTGGGTTTTGTTCCTCCCCCTGTCTTTTTGTTGTCTCTCTTTTCATCATCATCATAACCATACCATCATTATTACTGGATTTTATTTTAATTGCTAAACTGTCCTTATTTCAATCCATTATATTCACCTTTCTTTTTTTTCCCAGATTCTTCTCACCATCCTACTGTGAAGCAGGAAGTGAGCAAGGAGCAGCTCAAGGATACAAAAGTTTGCAAATTGGAATAAAATTTTCCAAATAGCTGTGAAGTTGAGAGAAAGTGGAAACATTTGATCTCCATATTGTCAACTATTTTCTGTCTGAAAAGAAAATGAAAAAAAGGGAATATGTCATAAGAAATAGTATTTCAGGTCTTAGAATTTCTGAAATCAGTTTTTTAAAAAGGAGTGAAAATAAAAAAAAACCCCTTTAAAAAGAAACCTCTCTTCCTACAGTAATTATTATTCTTGGTCAATCTTAGTTAGCTGTTTTTGTAATACAGGCCTAAAAAGCCGAGCATAAGAGCTAGATATAGGAATCCAGACTCATATTTCAAAATAAGAGCCTGAGTTAAAGCTTTATAATATGTCCAGAATATCATCTTTCTAATGCATAACTTACGTGCAATTTGAATATTGCTGTTGGATGTTGAAAGTTTCTAGAGCATACTGTATCAAATTCCTTATGTTAAGCCAAGGTGCTTGCTGATAGTTTTGGAATCAATGGTTGGGAAGAAATTAAATGTGTCAAAGCAAGGGAGTATTCTATAAAAATGAAAAATGAAGAATTTTCATGTAATTTGTTTTTGACAACCAAACTGAAAAAATTAATATCTTTCTAGGTCTGGATATCTTTGTCATAGAAATTCAAAGTCCACTAAAATCAAAGGCAGTTTTTCCACAAGCTCATCAAATTTTTCATTGAAATGTTGGTGTGCCATTCTATAGCATTTTGATAACAGGAGGGATTTGAGCAATCTGGGAATGAAATGAAAGAAAGAATGAAAATAATGATTTATCTAAGGAAATAGGCAATAAATCTTTGACAGAAAAAATCCTGACATACACTCAAAGACTTACATGCCAGTGGGAAAAGTAGGTGATTTGAAATTAAAGAGACAAATATAATTATACTTGGTTGAAAAACTACAAGTACATGAAATACATAAACCTGCACACTATACCTGTCAATTAAAAATAATGACAGCATATTCTATTGCAGAAGTATTTCATAGCAAAAGAAATTCAAACCTGAATAGTTTCATGTATCTTTCTTAACTAACTGCTATGTGAACAATAGCAATTTTTTTTTTTTTTTTTTTTTTTTTTTTTTTTGTTTGGTAACAAAGGAGCTAATTTCTGGAAAGGAAGGCAAAAAAATTAGAACCAGCTCTGTAGGGTTCACACAGTCGCTGTAATTTAGGTTAAATGTCAATGAAAACTACAAGGTGGTATAAGCTCCATCACAATTTCTCTTTAATGTTTTAAACAGCAGTTCATTTGAACTTAAATAACAGTTTATCTATGCATATTTCATTATAGAAAGAATGTACAACACAACCTAAAAACCTAATTTTTGACCTTGTGCAAAATCATTTCAGAGCTCTGTGGAAATGCTGGCATTGCAATATGGACACCAAAAATGACACCAGTAAAGAATCCCTGTACCCCTACAGGTTATATTGTCAGAGAAATGCAAAGAAACACTAAAGAGAAGAAATAATTCCATACAGTTAGCACTTTCCAAAGTTTTCCATTCCTAGAACTAACTTTGCATTTTTTGACTCATCATCACACATCTGACATTGAAGGAAATAATACCCACTGAACTACAGGAGGCATTTAGTGATTCAAAGGTAATAGTAATACCCATGTAAACTTTTCACTTTTTAAAGTCATGCAAGAGTGTTTTTCTTTGCAGGGGTTTTTTAGCTCCTTCCACCAAGACAATTAAGTCTGACATCAAAGCAATTTTTTTCAGAAATACACAGTATTAGCCAGAGGAGCAAGTAGATTCAATCACAGCACTGTTCTGTCTGGATAAGTAGATGTTTTTCTCTATAAAAACAAAGTCTATTCCAGAAAAATATATTCTCATTATGGAAATAAATTCTCCCTCTCTGTCCTCTTTTTACCTGCTCTCTCACTAAATCTCTCCTTCCCTCTGTAGCTCACCAGCTCCCTAATTTACCTCTCATTGTGCCATAGTTGATTGAGAAAAACACTTAAACTGATGCATTTCAACTGTAGTCCTGTTTCTACACCCGTCAGCAAGCTCAGTAAATCAGTCAGCCTGCCCTCCTTCTGGAACCACCTCAGTTCAGCTCCACAGAAAATAGTTATCCCTCAGCTCTCACCACTTTCCCCTATAGTTTCCTCAGAGAACCTAAAGAATTATTTTCATGTAATAAATCCAGAGAATAAACAAACAAATCTCTTCATGGCATCAAATAGTTTTTATGCTTTCTACCTAGGTAAGCAATTCACACCTTCAGAAGATTTTACCCCTCTATTTCTAGGATCTATTTCTATCTTTGGATCCACAGGGCTTGACAATGACAGCAGACAGAGCTTTCCCAGTTGGAGTACAAATTGGTTTTATAGACAACACCTAGTGAGTTTTTACTCTTTGGAATACATAGATTTAAGATCTCTACTATCATCTGTTCTAAGATTGTCATATCCTGGTTTCGGCCTGTCAGGTATACACACTGGAGGGAGGGAATGATGAAGTTATCATTGTGTATTTCATGTTGTCTAATACAAAAAACTTTGAAATTATTTGACCAAAACAATCCCTGTTACTATGACTGTATTAATCCCATCTCAATGAAAAATATTTCTAAGAGAATTTCAGTTTGCAGTTATTTAATCATGCAAAACACAGCTTTTCCAAGGACCTTGATACACTGTTGTGTAAATATACGATAATATTGATCCTGCTCCTGGCAGGGAAATGCACAGTGGGAAAGGAAGGCTTAGAACCAGGTGTTGTGGATTCCCCTCACATCCTGTCTTCTCCCTCTCTGTACAAATGCATTCATCTGTGAGAGTGGCAGCAAACCTTTCCCAAAAAGGAATATATCAAATTTTTTTTTAATATGCTTGGCTGGCAAGTAGAGTGTGTAAATAAGGAAGGTTGCATGCAGCTTTAAATATAGCAAAAGGTAGGAAGAAGTTGAGGTTAAGATCATTTTAGAGATTATAATAACATGATAAGCTTCATATTTACAGTACTACAAGGAAGTACTTTGGCTGGCTGGTGTGTAGTTCAACTGTGCAGCTTGAGTGACCAACAAATTCTGAATCTTCAGAGAAATGGTCATTTACTTGGTTTATATAGCCCAAGATCTTACCATGTAGGCTTCCTTCCACTCACGATCAATGAAGCTGCTTTGCTGTTTTTCATGCATTTCACATGTCAAGAAGGAAAATAGAGAAAAAAGATATGAGGAATCATCAGGAGTAACTGTTTTGGAAACAGAGATAAATACAGCCTCTTGAAGTGATACAGGAGCAAGTGTTGATTGTTGCACATGCATTCAGCATCAAAGCTGGTTGCTGAAGACTTAATATAAAAGATTTATTTTAGGCCTGAGAACATTGGTTTCCATAATCTGGTTCAAGACTGTTCTCCTGTTTGTTTCTTATAGAAATTTCAGCTTCTTTATCATATAAAGAAAAATTTTTAAAAAAAGTAATGTAGAAATGTTTACAAAATAAGATTCTAAAAATATCTGTCTAGATCTTTTGTCATACATATTCTACTGAAGAAGCAGATATATCAATTTTATAAATAATAGAAATCTTAGGTTCCAAATTTATACAATGTGATGTGCACATAGGTCTTACTGAAATTGAAGAAAATTCTGTCACTAACTTCAGTTTCCAAACAATTGCATGCTGAAAATATCAAATATATGCTCTTAATAGAACAGAAAATAGTGAAGGAACACAAAAAACCTGAAATTCATATTTTTAAAAAATCAATTGGCAAAGACAAGAGGACAAAATACCTGTCAAAACACACTGAAGAAGGAAAAGAGAATCCATACACAACTTTAAATCAATGTAGATTTTAAATCATGAATTCCAAAAAAGTTCATTGAATTTCTTTGATTCTAATTTATCTTCTGACATGTGCTGATTTGGCAGTTATTATTTGATTTCAAATGATGATACTGTTTTTCTTCCTAGAAAAATAATTTTTTTTTCCTTATACCAGAAAAGCATATTCCTAACAAATTTCTTCAATGTTGACATATTTTTAAATGGTTGCACCATAGGTGTCCTATATGATCCATCGCTTACTCAGACCTTGAAAGAGTAATAATTTGTTCTACACTCATCCAGAGCCTTTTAATTATTTTGAATAGATAATATAATGAGATTAAGATGTATAAAATGTAAATGTTGCAAAAAATATCTGAAAGAAGAGACACCTTTAATGTCTGCAACCCAATTGTATTATGCAAAGAAGGATTGCACATATATTTATGAATCAATTTTTTTCTAAAGCTAAGATTTTTATCATCACTACTGTTACAGTGAGCGCATGGGCATTCTGTTTCCCCTTCCCCAAGACCCTGTGACTCTGATCAAGATAACCCCTGGACCCCTCCTTCCTGCCCCAAGGGGGTTGGCGGAGAGCCAGGGAAGCCCACCCTGTCCAAAGTCTGTATAGACCCCTGACATTTCCTGTTCATTCTCTTTTGCCCCGCTTTCCCCCAAGGACATCACAGAATAAAGAGAGCTGAACCAACTAATCTCGGGGTAAGAGCCTATTTTGGAAATCTTTGCCTTCTCCTGTTATTCCTCCCCTCACAGCCTCTGATCTCTAAACTAGCCTGATTATTCAGGGGGCTGTGTGAGGGGGGGAACCACACACTACCTTTTAAATATGAAAGGTTGCACTGTCTTTTTAATTTTATTAATTTAATTTGAAGGTATAAGTGAAATTTAGGAATTATAGATATTCTATTATTCACTTTTGAAAAATGAGAAATTGCCACCAAAAAATGGCAAAGGTAATAAAAGAGCATTTGCACTGTGTGGTGTCAGATGTTAGCTTGCCTTGAATCAAATCAAACCACATGAACCACCCTATTGGTTCTGTGTCATTATCTTGTACTGAAGTCACCTGCAATACAAGAATCATTTTTAAGGAAAAGATGAGATTTGTCTCTCCTATTTTTACTTACCCACAAGTCAGATGTTGGAGTGAGTCACTCCAAGATGAATAAAGAAAAAGAAGGAAAAGGTAAAATATATACATATGTTAAGGAGAGGTTCATCTGACCTATTTTAGACCTCTAGATACTTCCCCTTTCAGGCTACTTGCCTGAAAGTAAATAAGCACACAGGAGAGGTGCAAAGAGTCTAGCAACGTAGGCACTTCAGCTAGGAATATAAAAATGTGGCAGAGCTGCTGGTGGGTCTCTGAGCCCCAAAGCTGGGGAAGTTTCAAATACTTCCAAATTTCAGGGAAGTTTCAAATAAGCAACAAATTAGAAAAAGTATGTCTCTCAAATGAATGGAAGCCCTTGAAGACATGGGAAGGTCTGAACTAATCTGGTTGGTAAGCAGAGGCACCGTGAGCTGTAACATCTCTCTGTTCCAAACTTTATCCAAGGGCTACAGGGGCAGAAATGCTCCTCACTATGCACTTCTTGCTGGTTTAAAACAGCAAATGTAGTCCATGACCAGTTTGAAAACAACTATGATAAATAACCCAAATTATAATGATCCTAGAGCTATTTTGGAATGTTTATACTTTTGATACAATTTTGGTTACAACTGACAACTATGTTAATATCTTATTGTTCTATAGATGTATATATATATGCTGCATTGGATTTTTCCTTCAAATGTAAGAAACTGGGAAGAGTGTTGGGGTGAGATCCCATCACTAGAGTAAGATCTCGTGTTATTCGCATGAGAGAAGGACATTTTAGGCTTAAATTTTTAAACATAACTGTAAAATAAAAGCTGCAAACTCAGCATCTTTCCTACTCTCTAAGTTTAAAATTACTTCACTTTCCAAAAATGATATAAAGAAACTTGCACAATTCAGAACAGTTTTAAGGGTGTGATCAGTTTGATGTGCTTCCTACAACCTTTAACTTGGAAGTGGCTGGTTATATACTTTGTAACATTTGTTACTGTTGCACACCTTATGACATTAAAATTATATTTGCTAGGACTTCATTAAACTTCTTTGTAAAAAAAAAAAAAAGGGAAAGCAAAACTTCTAATTTTTCTCTTTTTCAGAATCTTCCATCTAGAAAAGCAGACCACTATCAACTCTAGTTTTCTCATTTTTAGAGAAATTTTCAAAGGAAAAGAAAATATTTTTATTACCTTTTCTAAATTCTGTACATTTCAGAGTTTGAAAATACAATACAACTGTTAACTTTTTAAATCCTTATTCAGCACTACCTCTTGGATGGCATGGAATGAAAGCAATGAAACAGGAAAAGAACAATATGTCAAGTTCTCTGTCTCCAATACAGCTCTGAAACTCAAGACAGCTATCATCTTCTTTCAGGTGTAGAAGCCTTCTTTTTAATAATAACTATTGAAATACCAGCTGTAACTGTTCTGTTACTCTTCTCAGTAAGGTAAGATATCAACTCCATTATCAAATTTCCTTGCAAAAATAAATCATCTATTCTGGGAAAGACTATCCATATAATTATACATTTCTACACTGTCGCAATATTGTGTATTGACCATGACTGTTCATTTAGCAGATTTTTCATTCTCTGAATTGCTTTTTTGGCCATCTCACAGCTCTGTGAGAGATTTTCTGAGTTGACACAGTACTCAAACTGGTAAATCTCAGTAACAGAGTAAATATGTCCATTAGATTAGACACGGTCATTAACAGTCATCAACTTTGGCAGCCTGCAAACTAGTTTCATAGAAGTAATCACTATTACTAATTTGTGTTTAGTAGAGTTTCCAGACTGCAAATTAACTTGTCAGATTCAAATTTTTCCCTAATCTTTGTGACCCTTTCTGATACACATTGAGAAATTGTTTGCATGTCTGCTATCTCTTCTGACAGCGAGTTGGAGCAAGTCCCTCTTTCCAAGCACAATATGTCCCGTTTTTTTAACACATTTCTTGCAACAGTTAATTTATTGCTGTAGATTTCATTGAGCATGAAAATAGTTTATAAAAGTGCTTTCTGTGATCCTATTTTTGGTAAACTACTTTGATAAGCCCAAGATCAAATTTTCAGCAATGGTGATCTCCTGCAGGTTTCTGTGACTTCAAGCTCACCTGCATAAAAATGAAATGCAGTCATCCTTCCCCCACCCTCGTTATTATTTTATTTTTTTTACCTTCTTCCCCCACCCTGTGTAGGTATAGGCGATGTATGTTTCTGTTAATACTTAAAAAAAGAGCACTCTTGATTTCTGAATGCCAGACTTATGCCAACTTCAGACCCCAAAATTTATGCTGCATTTTAAAATTTTGGCCCAAATATAACACGCATAAAAAGCTAAAAGCATCAGAATAACCAATCCATATTGTAAGCAATGCCAGAGTTACTTTTCGCTCTGCAGCATCACAAGTGGACTGTGAAGAGAAAGTCAGAGGCTCAGTCAGATCATACAGAGTTCTTTGCCAGCATCACAGAAGCAAAGATTGATTGAGGTAAAGAAATAGAGAGGGTTTAACTTAGCTTTTTCACAGTATAGAAGAGTGTTTTACCACGTGGAGCTTGGTGTGATGCAGGATGCATTCCGACAAGACAGATTTAACCAGCCTAATAGCTTGCTGCTTCTGAACACTGCTCTGAGCCAGCTCTGGTGCTCATCCTGCCCCTCAGTGTGTAAATTCCATCCCCGAACCCAGCAGAAAAAGGAAACTAGACAGACATTTCCCTTGTGTTGGTGAGCTGCATTTTCTCACAGAAAAAATACGATCAAGGCTACCCAGGTATGCCAAGGGACTGAGTACATAAATAGATCAGGGATGGATGGAGGAGGTGGGGAAAGAAGTCTTCTCCTTATTTTATCTGAGAAGTGTTATGTCAGTTCACCGGTTTCACTTGTATGCCCTTTCAAAGGATGCTGACATACCATATTTGTACTATCTTTGCTGAGAGCATTTATGAAACACCCAGGAATACTGGATGGAATACAATGATGGCATAAATTAAATGAGGCAGATTAATTATCTTAATCCCTAAATTAAATTTTTGGAAGTCATGGGAGTAATACAACCCCACTTAAAATAACAAACGACATAGGTGAGTCCAAAAGTTGGAAAAAGTGATTTATTTATTTATTACAAGTTTCATCTCAGCATCAATGGTATTTTTTACCTCCTTGGCAGGTTTGCCTGCTTTTTATGCTAAAGGTAGAGGTTCAGGACTACCAAGAACAGAGCAATGTTCCCCACTCTGTAACATGCTGTTCCCAATGGCACAGCTGTCTCTGGAGTACGTGGAGCTTATCCCCAGTACTGAAGGGACAATGTGGTGACCAGCCCTATCCCAGGGAAAGCAAACACCTATGGACTCCCAGGAGTCACACAGGAGAGCTGTGAACGCACATCATATTTGAAACAGTGGTGACTCAGCCTGATTAAATGTGTATTCTGATTCATCTCAACCAAAAACAAACAACTAAATTAGGTCACATGAACAGCCCTTAAAGTACCTGCTTCTCTCCAGTACTTGAAGGGAGCAAAGGTTGCTTAGTTCAGATGCATCCTAAACATCTAATCTGTAGAAATCTAGAAGCAGATTAAATGAATCCCACCTTAGGCAATATTTTGGTGAAAGAATTACAGTAAAAATTGAACATAAAAAAGTTTATGTGGCTTCCTACAAAATGGTCACATTATTGTTTAAAGAAGAATACAACTGCCCATTTCTCTACACAAATAAGTTTTTCTGAAAAATCAATGTCAAAAAGAGCAAGCATTGTCCTAAACTTCTTCAGGCAGCCCAGTGGCAAAGTCCAGAAGCAGGCCTATAAACCTGTAAAGAAATGGGAGTTCTGCTTAATAAACTAGAAGGGAAAACAAACCCTCTAGAAATAAAAGGTATGTTCCATATGATTGTTTGGGGTTTACGAGTGTTTTACAACTTCCAGAGACATTAACATTATATTAATTTTCCCACATGGAATTCTGCCATCTACATTCAGGTTAATTTAAAACCAATTAATTTTGTCAAGGTAACGGGGCCCCTAATGTATTGTACAAATGCATATTAACTATTGTGTGTAAGAAATAATTCAGAAAAGAAAAAGAAAATACGGGAAAATTTCTGTGATTAAATGAATTAAAGAAAAGCTTATCCAGCTTGAAAATTACTTTTTTTTTTACTTTATATTATGATGGCTAGGAAATTTCAGAGAATAAATTAAAACTGTTATGAAGAGACACCTATCTAAATATATGGTCCGTATATACATTGCTTCAGTACAATTTCTTGAGTTATTTTCCCATTGAATTCAGCTATGCCATGACAATTTCTCCTGCTCTGTTCATATCTTTCTAAGTCAAGATAATACAATCCTGGGTGAGAAGGAATTGGGACATCCTGTTCTTTTTAGAATCAGAGGAGGCAATGAGACATGGGGAGTTTCTTACCTCCATGCAAATTAGATGCCACAGAGAGTAGGTAACCCAGACAGACTTCCTGTATAGAACAAGTCCTTACCTCTCCATTCAGAGATTCAAATGAAACTAGTGCTGAGAACTATCACTGGTTCTGCCACCCATGCCTGGAAGATTTCTTTGATCATAAAGAAATGATAGCAGAGAGAGACTTGCAATCCTGAAAATAAACCACTTTATTTCAGTGTCAAAATAATTTGACAAGTGGTACCTGCCCTTGGTCCCTATGGTACATCTCATCATAGCAGATCAGCTTTGTAGCTCAGCAGCAGTGAAATATTTAGCCAATTCAGCACTGAAAGGGCAGTTGTTGGAAATTTCTCATTTGCCATCTCATTGAAGGTCATGACTTTCCTATTTTTAGTATAAACTATTGCCAGACTCTTATAAGAAAACTACCACACTGATTCAAATTCAAGCTGTAGTTTGAGGATTATTTCACATTTCACTTATGAGTTTTTTCAGGAAGAAAGGAATGCAAAACCAATGGCATTGAATCTACACTATGTTAGACATGTTAAAAGCAAACAAGATAAACCCAGAAAATGTGGTGGTTTTCTTTTAACATGAAATTATTAAAGAAACTTGCAAAATAACACTGCTAGAATTCTATTCTGACCCTCAAGAAAATGACGATGATAGAACTAACTACAGGCAGGCTGGCACATGGTGAAAATCCTGAGTGTATCCTTATTGAAGTGGCCATTTCCCATCCTTCTTCTCACTGACGTACATTTACAAATTCAAGTAACAGAAAAGTAAAATTAAGGCTTGGTTGAAAAGCTCTTTAAGATGATTTTGTCTGGTTGCCAGTGAATGCACATAAAAAGTGTCTCTACTCATATCCATGCAAAAAGTTTTGCAGTAAATGGTGAATTGGCCAATATCACTTTAAACAAATAGAACACCATGACCTGTCCAAAAATTTTTTTTTTCTAAGAATCATAATTGTGGCTTTTCCATCCATTACTGATAGTAATTTTGGCAGCCTGAGAGCAATAAAAGAATGTTAAAGAAAATACTCAGAAAAATAACACTATCTCAGAAAATGGTAAACTTCATCTCCCTTTCACAGAAACAAGGACTTAAGTATTATATATGGCAAAAGTTGATATTAAAAACTGGTTGCAAAGTAAACTGCTCTTGTTTAAAATTGTAAACTGAGGTATGATCATTTTGAAAAGGCAAATGAATATACTGTTTGAATATATAAAAACAGTGAGGAATGGAGACATGAGTAAACAAGAAGAGACCAAAAGCCAATTCAAGGGCAGAGAAAGAAGAACACAAACAATGATCTGCATTTCTGCTGTGTCTCTCAGCAACAGCACTCAGAAAAAGCAGGTCAGCTCACCAGGTGGTAGAATGTGCAACTGTTTGATGCTGAACCCTCCTGAGGATGCTCTTTCTGTGTAACACACATGTCCAAGGAATAGTACTATGTTAAAGCAGGTAAGCATCACAAAAATGTATGTTCTTTAATGGGAGTACAAAATGAGACAATCTTTCTAGGACATTTTCTCAAAAAATCAACTCCTTTTACATTACAAAACACTAAAAACTGACCCATCTCTGAACATATATTCCTGTGAAGATCACTGTTTTTTTACTGGAAATGTGAAAAACTTCCCTTGACACTTCACCTTCTCCTCAAACCTTCTCAAACAACATATACAAACCTGAGCCTCTGCAGGTTTTGCAGAGGTTTTTCCTCCGTCACTTACTTTGGTGCCCTATCTTCTAAGGTTTCCACTTCTACATTAAGACCCCTATAATTCATACTCTTATCTCAATTCCATACTCTGAGTATTCTTTTGAGAGTGCTTAATATTATTACACAATTCTTCGAGGTATTTATCCCCCCAACTGACCATGTCCTCTTCCACACTATATTCTAGGTAGTTCGTATCATTTCTAGAATAGAATAACAAACTCCTTTACCATCTTTGTACTCAAATCCATTTATTCATAAAAAGTTCATTCTTTGGAGGAAAAAAAAAAGTCCAAAAACCACAAACCAAGACAAACAACACAAACCCCAAATGGTCAGAGACAGAGAGGTTTTCATTTTCTTTACAGAATGAAAACCAAATTATGTAACCACAAAGGTATATTTCTAGCCTTACTTGTTATCACTTTTAATCTATCTTTCTGTACTTTGGCTAAGTCAACAAAATTGGTTTGAGCATAGGGACAGAATTTGAAAAATTTAATCCAAAACTTTGCCTAAATATTATAGCAATAATGCTTAGATATATTTTTTCTAAAGCACCATTTACCTCATTTCAGGGTAGTAAGTGTATCTACTCCTCAAAATCTCTGACTCCAACTACTGTGTAAATGCACAGAGTTGGCCTACCTTTTGCATCTCTGTTTAAATAATCCCAGATGACCTCCAGTTTTACTGCAAATTAAATATTTATACTTGCAGGCATTTACACATTCACACAAAATAAGAAACAGAGAACTGGAGTAAAATTCCTATGACAGCCTTATAGAAGGCAATCTTATCATGCTGTGCTGTGCTATGCTATGCTGTAAAATAATAAACGTAAAAAACATCATATAATATAAACAATTTCCAAAAGTTGCATTATTGAACACCAGAGCATTTTGCCCTCATTTCCTTTCCAGTTTAAATTTATTCATGGACAGTTTGTTCCCACTTGTTCCTGAGCCAATACTATTCTTTAACCTAAACACTTCCTTCCTGTCTCTGGCTTTACCATCCTGATGTATTTAAAGACAGCAATCTTATCCCTGCTCTGCTTTTGTTCTGCTAAAATTCTAAGCTCTTTCAGCGTCCTTTCATGAAATAGACTCTTCCTCCCCCTGAGAATCATAACAGCCTGTTTCTTGCACTTTTTAAAATTCATTTCTCCTGACTATGAATGAGGAATTGAACAATATTCCAGATCAGGTCTCATCCAAGCCTGCCACAGTCACATTAACATTCTCCCTTCCTCCACTGGAAATGTCTCCTCTGACATATCCCAGTCTTTCACTAGCTTTTTTCACCATCACTTCACAATGGCTCCACACAAATTATCCTGTGATTGATGAATGCACTCAGATCCACTTCCTTCCCATGGCATCTCATTGATAAGCACTAAGATTATTACAAGGGATTTGTTTTACTTTGTTTATTAGCCTTTAATAATTAAAGTCCTTTGTACTTCACAATTTTATATGCTATTCTATTTATGTTACATCAGTCCTAATGTCAATTATCTCTGAATAATATCCTTTTACTACTCCATATTAACAGTACCTGCAATTTTCAAATATTCAACACATCTTATTCAAACAATTCTACTTTTTGAAGTTTATTAATCACAACAACAAAGGATGTACATCTTTAAAATGACTCTTTAATACTTCCACTCTTAGCACTTAAGCTGAAGACTTTTTGGTTCATCATTACCCATGTCTTTTTTCCTGTTAGCTGTACTCACGTTAAGCCTTTTATATTTATCTCAATTTTTCCTAGCCAATCTCCATATGGATAATTGTGAGCTTTATTTAAAAGTGAATTATGTAATGATCCAGATCGATTAGATTTTTTTAAGATCTTTCTGTTACAAAACCCAATTATCTTCTGACAGAAAGATATCATTTTAATCCAACCTAATCTCCTTTTTTTTTTCTGAAACCTGTTTTTTATTATCCCATTTCATGTTTTTCTCTTTTTTTTTTCCTTCAAAGCTTCTAGTTGTCCAAATCAGTCCACTACCTATTGCACAACCCTTACATGTATTCACTTCCCATACAATGTTTTTCTCCTTCATCCTTCAACTCCCCCTGTCCCTCTTTCTTATTTTACTAATGTCTCAAATCCTTACCACAAGATTTGTGATTTAGTGTCTCTTATTTAAAAATTATCCCAAATAGAATTTTATCTTGAATTTAGTTGAATAGAATTCTATTTCTACTGTCTTATTTCTCACAGCATGCAGGCAGCATCACCATTGCAAAAAAAAATTTTGACCAGCCATTCACTATTGAGATTTATTAGATTTGCCCTGTCCCTTCCCTGTCCTTATCACACATCACAGCCCTACTTCCACCTTCATTCTCCTCCTCTTTATTTATTTTTTCTCCTATAGAATATTATCACAGCTCTTAGCATATATATTTTTCTATTCAAAGATATGAGGAATTTCTGCAACAGAACAAATTTGTAACCAAATGAAATTTATCTTTCTACATGAATTTTACAGTCCTTCCTGCTGACTCTGAGTGCAAGGGATAAACTGAGCACTCAGATGTATTGTCCATAATCTAAATTCATGCTCTGTGTAAGATGTGAAGAATGCTAGTATCACATACGTCTGTACTTGCTAAAAAGTGTAACACTGAGGATTTTCAAGGTGATTCTCACACAAGAGATTTTCAGACCAAGCTGTTCTCCACTCCCTACCTAAAGGAGCAGTGCAATGAGCTCAGCAAAGCAGTCAACAGGGCTTTGAACCCTTAATGCACTGTACTACTAAAAAACACTTGTTTCCATCCTGTAACAGCATGCAGATAGTTTGTTTCAATTAACTCTGTATTGCTCAGCTTAAGAAACATAAAAATACTTCTAAACTCTTTCCTCTCCTTTGTGGACAGGTGGGGGTTGAGTGGATGGAGCTGGATGGAGAAGCCAAAACTGCCTAGATATAATGTTTTCATTTCAGGCATAACTCCATCCAGTCATCCCCAGCGTGACAGATGGCTGATGCTAGGCTTGCTTCTGGATTTCTTGTGGAAGGTGTGAGCAGATACTGAACACCACTAAGCTCCACAAATTAATAGGAAATTCTTTTGTTCTGTTCCAATGGAGAACACTGTTCAAATACTACAGTCCTCTGAGACGAGCTGTATTTACAGGAGTCTGTGTAACTGCTGAGAGTGACACTGTTTAAAAATTTACACCATCCTCCACTTGTACCTCAGCAAACCCACATTTTAGAAATTAATGAAAAAAATAATAAAGGCTTCAGTTTTCCTATGTTAGCCTTGAGGGCCACATATATTAATAGCTGCTACACCTTTTTTTTATGTTTTTTTTTATTTTATTTTTCTGTGATATGCTGAATTATTTGGACACGCTGTAAAGCTATCTGGCACTTTGTGACCTAATAGAAAAGCAAACATTAAGAATTTACTATTATACAACAGTAACCTGGAGAGATAAATACTGTGCTGAGAGGGAAATGTAAGCTGCAGAAAATTAATAATAGCTATTGCTGTATGAAGGAAGAGTGACCTACTCACAGCTAAAATTTCTTTCTCTCTTGTCTAGCATTTCACAGTCTCCCTTATCTCCTTCCAGCATGGAGCTACACATTTCTGCTTTCCCAGCTTGTATGTAGAGGCCTTTAACCCTTTAAATGTGCCATATCCAAACAGACCAGAAAGGGGTCTTTTGGAAAAGATAACATATTCTCTCAAGTCAATAGATTAAATAGTGCATTACTTTTTTTCCTATTCTCTTGATCTTAAAACTGATACATATTATTATTGATGTATACGTAGGGAGGATGGTAAAACAACTATGGGATATAATTATGTGTGTAGGAAGAAATAGGGCATAGACATGTGGAATACCACAAAAGACAGAAAGGAAAAGTGAAGAATGAGAAAATACTTCACTGCATTTAGAGCCTTTGGTGTACAAACAATTTGGTTCGGGATGTCACAATTTTGGGTCTGGCCTAGATAGGCCTGATCAAGGGATAAACTAATCCTTTATGGTTATAAATATATTTTAAAATATTTTTTCCTTTTTTTTGTTCTTTTTCAGCAGAAATATTTAAATCTCTATCAGCATTCACAGATAGATTTTTAGAAAATCACAGACATCATGTGCTGAATACGCATCGAAATAACCAAAAGCAAGACATTTTCAAAAAGATTGCTATGCCTGATACCATTATCACTTAAAAAGAAAATAAAAATGAAGGACAAAAATGTAGAGTGTCAACCCACTTTTCTTTCTTTGTCTCTTCTGTTAATGGTTTCCCTTCAGTATCTTGCTGCTTCATCTTGGGTCATGTGCATTACCACTCTCATCCACATGCTGTGCAAAGCCAGAGGCAATACAAGGGAAATGGCAGTGGTCCATCTTTTAATTTTTTGCTTTTGCCTTCATGGAACAGCATCATCCTGATACAGCCTGCAGTAAGGAGAGTAGCAGTGCACTTAGAACCACTTGGGTCCTCCCTTCCTTTTGTCAGTGTCTCACTGGCTGGAGCCTGGTGTCTCAAGAGTCAGTCCCACAAAATGTTTTCCCACCACTGAGCACTATGATGTCTTGAATGAAGTGTGATCTGATCAGCCCGGGATAATGCAGTCACCAATACAAAAGAGAGATGAAAATGCATGAAAAGGTTTTTTATTGCCAGAGCTCTGATGGTAAAGTTTTCTTGTAAGTGAGCACATAATTTAGACATTCCCTAGGATTAATAACCTTGAGCAGAAGTTTGCCTGCAGCTTCAGTGATCCTCCTGTGATCCTGATGATAAGTCACAGATTAGTGAGAACTGAGCTCTTGCTCTTCCTGGGTGACAGGTTCATTTGATATTATCTTGTGAAACATACTTACATTTTGTAGTTCTTATTCCCCTTTCTATCAAAATGAGTATAATTGTTTAGTTCATCACTGTAGCATTATGAGACTAAGACTGTAGATCTGAGGTGTTTGGGTAAGATATCTACATATGAAAGATCTTAAGATATGACACTAGAAAAATATATCTAGCCATTAAAATGAAAAACTGAGAAGTTTCTGTTTCAGTAGAAGTGCACATGAAAATGGGGGATGTGTCCACATTCAGAAAGAACATCAAACTACAGTCTGAGGTTATGGCAGTTTCTCCTCAGCCACACTTTCTGGAAATGTGGGAAAAGCTTATAGCTATGTTAATACTTCATTAAAAACATACTCATGGAAAAAATTTAGAAGACCTTTTGTTGTCCTTTAAAACTTGGACACAAGGTGAAATCTCATCTTTACAGACAATAATCAAAGCTTTTCATTATTTAAAAAAAAGCAGGAACTAAATCCTTGGGGGCAAAACTATGAGGTTAATAGGCATTATCTCCATGAAAACCACACATCTGTAGTTCTGTACTTTCGGGGTCAAATCTGATATTTGAAAGATATACAAAAGAGATAATAAAGTAATTTATTTCAAGTCTAAGTAAGAAGACTAAGAAGTCTGAAGAATACTTTGGAGGATCAGGTGAAAGGTCAAAGTTATCTTATGATTTGCCACACTAAATTCATATAAGACAGAGAGTTAAAAATGATCATAGTGCCTTGCTGCACTTTCTCTCTAGTGTTAATAGGGCCATTGATTCTTAAAATAATTGAACTGGACTTCACAGAAATCAGAAATATTGTCATTTGGGTTGGTAGCAGTACTCTTACCTTTTTTTCTGAATCTCATAGTGTTTATAAATCAGTATCCATGAGTTCTTGCCTCACGTGGAAATGTGAGGTAATGCAGTTATTTGAAAATGGATAAAAAACTGTGGAAAATCAGCTCCTTTATATGAGATAATCATAGCTTTATGCTACCAAGCAGAGATTTCTGGCATTATAAACAGATTATTTATTTCATCTGACATGCCCTAGTGAGGATTTAGCAATATGCATGGTTGACACACACCCCAGATATTTTGGAAGCCATGGTGGAAGGCAAGATCCATGGGAGATCAGAGTACATATTTGCTCACTGAATGGCAGGTGAGCTCCCAGTAAAACTGCATTTACAAAGGCACCCCCTCGGAAAGAAAATTTGCTTCAGATATATGTTTTTAGTTCCTGGTGGAAATCAAGCAGAACACGAGAATAGCTGTGAATGGATCTTCACTGTGTGATTTTGTTTTGAATTAACACTGCTTTTCTCTCTCTATTCAGCCAGCCACAGCAGGTGGGGAAGTTGATTTCTTTTATTTAGTTCAGAACTGAAAAACTAGATTTAATTTTTTTTCTGGGAAATTTTGCTGCAGAGAAGACTTCATTGGTTAAAGATAAAACATCAAGAGGGAGGGCAGAATGCCATTGTGTAAGATCTATAAATATACATTGGGTTTATATATATATCACAAATGCAATTAGACTAGGAAGTGCTGTGCTACTGTTATCTTCATGGAACAAATGTTACTAAAAATTCCTCTGATGTACCCCCTATCCAATGCCACAGCATATATTTTTCCAAAGTAAAAAATGGCTTTTAAAGCTGTTATAATAATTTTATGTTTCTGGTGAAGGTCCTTAGCTATAACTACAACTTGCAGTGGCTTCTATCAAAAATGAAATTAATCCTTCCAGGGAGGATGGATGAGTTGTTCTTGATGTGAAAAGGTGTGAAAAGCACTGTTTTGAGGAAATTTGTTTTACAAAATCTACATTGGGTTTGACAGGCTCCCAATAACATTTGGTTTCCAATGATCTTCAGAGGTGCTCTGTGCCTGTACAGGTCCTGTTTCTGTTTCATTCTGTGAGGAATCAGTTACCAATAACCTGCTTTTGAAACTCAGCCACCACATCATGGGATGTGTTACACACCAGCTACTGACCTACTCTTAGCTTGATCTCTAAGGATCCACCCCAACCACCTCTGTGATGACCTGCCTAATCACAATGGCCATAGTCTGAAAAATAACATGATTCACTGAACTAAATAATCCCTGAGAATGCATCAGACATAAAATACTAAGTCATTTTACGTGCATTAAGAATGCACTGAGCCCTTAGTGTAACAAATTAAATGAAATGGATTGAATTGTTATGAATGGGGGATAAAATCTTAACTTGCTAAACGTAAAATGGATGCATCAGGATCAAACAATTAGAGCAATTTATGGCACTATTACTTAAATAGGGCATCAAAGATATACTGCTGGAACAGTCCATGGAGCTTAGCATTCTAGTACAGCACAGAGTAACTTTATTTTATTCCAATCCAGGGAATCAAAAATGCAAGGAAAAATAAAGCAAAATACAATATCCAGCTAAATAAGCTGCTAAAAAGAAGGAAAGAGTGCTATGAGAACAAGAGAACAACAACAAAAAAGTTTCTCTTGCAAATCAGCACTTCTGGTTTTGATACACTGCATTTTGCCAAGAATTTAACCTGTAGCAAGCAGAATACATTTCTGCACTCTAATAAAATGTAATTCTTTGTGTAGATAACATTTCTTTTTTTTTTTTCCCTCATAAATTCCATCTCTGAGGAATGTTACAGACTTCAGCGGATATTTTTGACTGTTTATTTCCTGATTTGCTGCATATTCCCTAAAGGAAAAATGTCTTTTTTGATCTGGGTTATAATCAGTTATAGTGTCCATAACCTGGGATTTTCAAGGACTCTTAAACTGTTCCTTTAAAGTGAGTGGTAAAATGGTCTCTACTGTTAGCAAAAACATAATTAAGACAATATTGCATGGAAGTTTTCTTTTATACTTTTTTTTTTGATTTACCTATTTCTTGTTTGTCTCAGATGCTACCATTTTTAGCTTAGAAAGAGCTTGAATAATAATAACAGAGGTGTCTAAGTATAGACAAGTAAAATAACACCTTTATTTCATGAAAATATAGTAAAATAGAACTTCTACATTTCTCTTGTGGAAAGGTGTTTCTCTTATTTAAGGTTGTTTTCTATGTAGTCAAATATGGATTTGTATGTCATAAAGAAAATATTTTTCTTGCTGATGCATGGCATACTGCTTCTATATGAAGTCCAGTTGTAGAGCAAGTAAAATTAAAAGTCTTGCCTGTAGTGGCTGTTCTAGTCACTTGAATCGAAAGATTGAAACTTTACTTTCCAAGGCACAATGCCAGTTAGTTATAGGTAGCATTTTTCCTATTTCTGCTTAAAAAATAATTTATACAAATTTCAAAGTTATCCAGAGGTCCTACTTTGGGGACAGGGCTCGTAGCAGGATTGGTCCAATTGGTCAGCTCAGTAACTGAATAAACTTCTGCTGCAGTGAACATTTGTGCAGCTTAAGAAGAGCCTGAAAGCACCACTCCAAAGTGACCAATAGGGCCAAGATGAAGAGTTTAGACTACCCTGGTAAAAGAATTGCAAGATCTATTTGTATTTCAGACAGTCAAGGCAAATATAACCTCCAAATTCTTCTATCATGTCTGCTATTTTGAAATTATTACTAAAAAATATATTAAAAAATCTTGGGTTTATCCCTTTGCTGTAGTGGGATATTTGTGAAATTTCTTTTATTACTTCTTGCAGAGGAAAAAGAAAAGTATTTCCTCCCACTTCTGCACCAGAACATGTCCCTTTTATTTTTCAACCATTCTTTCATCAGCTGTTTCCTGAGACGTGATTCAATATTAAAAGGGAGTTGAATTCTATCTCTTCTGCTGGTGACATTCTGCTCTATGCTTGTGTTTACTTAGCCTAGAACACCACAGTCAGTACTTTCACCTATGTAATGTACACCAGACAACCATTTCTGTGATGAACTAAGTAAACAAGAAGGCCCTGGGAAGGCAACTGAAGGATTTGTTTGGATTGTTTTGATCACTTTGCTTAGTTGCTTAGTTGCTTTGAGCTAAAGTTTTCCATTACTGGGCTTATTTGACAAATAAGAAATAAATTTAGTAAAATGATATTATAACATGATAGTCTTCCCGTAGCCTGTGAAGAAGCATGTACCTTTCAGTGACCTTTCTATCATAAAACATTTTCTGTTGGTACAGTGAGAGTTCAATGGGCTGGGCTTGACTTACACTTAAGGTTTGAACACTGCAATTTCTGTGTGTGACAGCGTATGAAATTTAACCTGGGCGGGCTCCAGAGTTGGGCAGAGGGCAAGCTAACGCAGTTCAGCAAAGGCAAATGCAGGGTCCTGCACCTGGAGAAGAATAACCCCGGGCACCGGCACAGGCTGGAGCTGACCTGCTGGAAAGCAGCTCTGCAGAGAGGGAC